TGAAGTCACCAGGGATCCCAGGGCCCAGAGCTGAAAGGGACCTGAAAGCTTCTTTAATTTTATGGATGAAGTAACAGGACCCTAACCCACAAACATCAGATAATAACAATAACCGGTATTTACGAAGCACTTTACGTTTGCTAGCTCAGGTGATTTTCACAACAACCCTGGGAGGCAGGGGCTGTTATGATGCTCATTTTGCAGATGAGGAACCTGAAGCAAGCAAGAGTTAAGTGACTTGTCCAGAGTCACACAGCTAGTAAGCACTGAGTCAGGATTCCAAGTCCAATCCAACCTCACACAGTAAGCATCGGAGGCAGGATTTGAACTCAGCTCTTCTGGACTCCAACCTTCTCACTGCATCTGGTGCTCTGCTAATCTTTTCTTTAAGAAGTTTTTTTAATTTTTAAAAATTCATAAGCATTCATTTTTTTTCTTCTTCCTGTCTTCCCCTCCTCCTACTGAAAAATAAAAAAAGGAAAAAGAAAAACAAAACCCATATCACAGATACGCACAGTCAAGTGAAACAAATTCCCTCACTGACCGTGCCCAGAAACGGAGTCTTCTGACATCATGGCTGAGCATTTATCCCCGTCTTTCAGCGTCGGTGTGGTCGTCATTGTATAAATTGTTCTCTGGCTTTTCTCATGTCACTCAGCATCATCTCCCTCATGCCTTCCCAGGTCTCCCTAAAACCTTCCCTTTCCTCATTTCTTAAGGACCCAGTAGCATCCCATTCCTTTCACACGCCATGACCTGTTCAGCCATTCCCATACTGACCAGCTCCACTGTGGTCTCCCCTTTGATACCCCAAAGATTTGCTGCTCTATCCACACCTAAACACCTCTGGGAAAAAGCATGGGGCAGGGCCTGTGGGGAGACTGGGACAAAGGTTGGGTGTAGCCAAGGAAAAATTATTTTGTTCAAAGTATCTGCTTACCAAGAATGATTGCTGATCAAATGAGTAATAATAATAGTTTGCATTTATATCATTCTCTAAGGTTTATAAAGCACTTTACAAATAATGTCTCATTTAACCTCATGACAACCCTAGAAAGTAGGTGTTATTAATATCCCCATTTTACAGCTGAGGAGACTGAGACAGACTGAGGTTCAGTGATTTGTTCAGGGACATAAGGCCAGTAAGTTCCTGAGGCCAGATTTAAACGTGGGCAGGGACATTGTTCGGAGTGATGGTTTTAATGGAAATTGGATAGACTAGAAATAAATAATCTGTAGCCAGCTCATGCTTCATAGATAGGAAAATTGAAAAAACCCAATCCATTATTCTTTCTTTCCAAATGTGGCCCCACCTCAGGGCCAAGAACCAGAGTGAATGATCTCTGCTTCCTGATGGGGGATAGGCTCAGGCTCTCAGGGCCACCAAGAGGCTGCTTGTCTGCTGCCCTGGGAGAGCGGGGGAAGTGAGGAGGTGGGTCCTGGGGGAGCCTGGCTGGTCTGAGGCAGGCGCTGTGCCCCAGTGAAGGGGTGGAGGAAGGGGGCTGGGCAGGGCCGGGCATGGGAGTTATCATCTTACATATGAATTAGACTGAACCAGAGCTGGCAGGAGATGTTGCAGGGAGTGATGGGGGGAGGAGGAGGGTGTGAGGTGGATGGGGGAGGGGGGAGAAGACAGCAGCGTCAGCCTTGAACCCTGCCCTCCCAGCTGGGATGCACACCAGGCTGGAATCGAGGCTCCTTGGCCTAGGGACAGGATGGGGGCACAGCCGCTTCCCCCCACAATCCCACAGTCACAGATTTAGATCCAAATGGGACCTGAGGTTATCTAGCTCAGTCCCGCCAAGCAGAGCTTGGCGTGCAGTAGTTACTTAATAAATGTCTGTTGATTGACAGACTGTTGACCCCTCATACACCATATGCCATTTCACAGCGCTTCTGTTTTAGGGGAGAGACCCAGGGTTACCCCGAGGCACAGGGGCAAGGGAGGCCATGCTGGCCATCACAGACCTAGTATGGAACATAGGCTCTTCTTTTCCTGGGGCAATTTCTTGGCTTCTCGATTGCAAACAGAGACTCCGGAAAAGTAGCTGACAAAATCAGCGCTTCGACCCGGGGATGAGGTCCCCTCAGTCTGCCACCTCCTCCATGTCGCCATCACATTGTGATTGTGCAAGACACAAGGGCGCTCTAGCAGAAAGAGCCCAGAGAGGGAGAGAAGGGAGGGCCAGAGCTCTGGCCTCCCCTCTCCCCCAAATTTGCTTTTTCCTTCAGGCCTCAGTTTCCTTATCTGTAAAATGAAAATGAGAATGCCTGTCATACCCCCAAGAGCGTTGGGAGACTTAACTGAGGCCATGGGATGAGAAGCCATATTGAAAATCCCAAAAGGGAGGCAGCTAGGTGGTGCAGTGGTTAGAGTCCTGGAGTCAGGAGGACTTGAGGTTAAATCCAGCCTCAGACACTTATAGCTGTGTGACCCTGGGCAAGTCACTTAACCCCAATTGCCTCAAAGAAAGAAATCATTGTCCTTAGTAAGGACTTTGTCTAATGATGGACAAACAACTTCAAGGTCAAAGAAACTTGGAAGGGGCAGCTAGGTGGCGCAGTGGATAGAGCATCGGCCCTAGATTCAGGTGGACCTGAGTTCAAATCCTGATCTCGGACACATTAACACTTACTAGCTGTGCGACCCTGGGCAAATCACTTAACCGCTTGCCTAGCATAAAGAAAAAAGAAAAAGACAAGAGACTTGGAAATATGCTTAACTTCCAGCCCTCCTCTGGGGAGTCTCTAACCCAGGCTGAAGGAGTTAGAATCACGGATGCCTAGGATTCGGGAGAGCTGGGGTGGGGCTTCCCCCATCCTTCCTTTGAGAGGAGAGGGGGAGGGGCTTGACCCCCTCACACAGCCAGCTGTGGCAGGGATGGAAGAGAATAGACATCACCTGACATTGGTCCTCCCTGGTCAAGTAGAGTCACATAGGGAGGACTAAACCTACCCTTCTGGGGGCTGGGATAACAATAATAATAATAATAATAATAATAGTAATAAAAAAATGATGATGATGATGATGATGATAGTAGAAATAACAATTCACATTTTGATAATGCTTTAAGGTTTACAAAGTCCTTTACATCCATCGTCTCAGTTGATCCTTGAAAGTGGAAAGAGCATTGGGTCTAGAGTGAGAGGTCATGGGTTCAAATCTTTCCTCTGACACTTCATACCTGTGAGACCTTGGGTAAATCACTTAGCAACCCGGGTTTCAGTTTTCTCACTAGTAAATATAATAGAGGAGTTCGGACCCGATGGTCTCTGAAGCCCCTGATTTCATCTGCAGATCTAATGATCCTATGAACACTGTGACATAGATGTTGTTATCATCCCATTTTACAGATGAACCTAGCTAGTTAGGGTCCAAGAGAATGAGCTAGAGTCAGAACGCATGATTCAGCAGATGGAGATTCCCTTCTTCCCAGGCCCCCTCCCCAGGGCAGTGGGAGGAAGGGGGGGCTGTCATTCCGATGTCCAGGCGTGGAGTGGGCATCCTGGGCACGCTGCCAGTTCACACCATCTCGCTCCCCCTGAGAAGCTTCCCGCCCTCTCCAGGGCTTCAGCTGGTGTTGGCGGGGAGCTAGGGGGAGCCCGCCGCAGAAAGCTCTGATCTCACCCTGCTCTTCTACTTGTTCATTCCCTGAGCATCCTTGGGAGAAGGTGTGTGGGTGGCTTTGCTCTCTCCTCCTCCCTCCCTCTTCTTCTCTTTCCCCTCCAGGGTGAGACCAGCTGCTGAATTTTTTTCCACTTGTTCCTTTGGTTGCTATAAATCCAAGCAGCAGATTTATCATCTCGGGGGGACAAGGGCTCAGAGGAGACACTGCCTGAGGGGGTGGGGTGGATGGAGGTTTGAGGTCTCTCCTGGGAACAAGGGCCCATGGCTTACAGTCCTGGTGGGTGGGGTAGGTCGTGAGCAGATATGCAGTGAAGGGCCTGGAGGTGGAGGAGAGACATTTGCCCTCTCCCCATCTTTGCCTTAGAGCAGAGATTCTTAGCTAGAGGTCCAATGACCCCTGGGGTCACATATAGATTTCAAGCAGTTGAGGAACTTGGATGGGGGGAATATTACATCTTTGTTTTTACTAAGTCTCACTGAAATTTAGCATTTCTTTCAATTATTTAAAATCATCATTCTGAGAAGAGGTCCTGAGGTTTGACTGGACTACCCAAGGTGGGGCATGACTCCCAAAAGGTGAAGAGCCCTTGTTTCAGGGGAAAGGGATCTTAGCAAACATCCTGTCCCTCCACCGAGTGTGGTAATCAGTGTCGACACCAGCAACGGGCATCAGAGACCTCATGCCTGCCACAAACCCACTAACCCTTGTGTATTCCAGCCAAACCTACAGCCAGGCTTCTCTGGGGCAATGGTGGCAAAGTGAGGGGGCTGAGTATCAGTGGAATTCTGCCGGGGACCTCTCCCCGGGAACCAGGAACATAGGCTTTGAGACAGTAAAACTGGGGAGACCTGAGAGAAATGACATGGTTGGCCAGTTTCCAGTATCAAAGCTGGGCTTGTTCTCTTCATAGGGCTGGAGGGGACCAGAGAAGGCCTCAAGTTCACCTTCCTATTTCACAGAGGTGAAAGTTGAGGCTCAGGGGAAGTGACTTGCCCAAGGTTACACATGTTGTATCTGACTGAGCTGGGATTAAACCCAGGTCCTCTGACTCCAAATTCAGTGCTTATTCTGCTTAACCTTCAGGCAGAGCTGGGTGCTGTACGTAAGGAAGCCCAAACCATTCTTGTGTTGTTGCAGGTACTTTTCCTCTCTTCCACTGGCTCCAAAGGAGCCATCCTGCAGGGAGCCCCTCGTACCCCCTCTCTTAGTCCTGGACTGCCTGCTGAAGCCCTACTGTAGTCCAGGCTGGGCACGCCCTGGGAATGCCTGTGCTTCTCCCTGCCTGCATGGACCAGGCACCAGCCGGTTCAGAAGGAGACCCCATGTGAAGGCTGCTGCCCCTCACCTTGGTTCATCCCTTTGCTCCCACAGGACTTGGGAATGGAGTCTACATCACTGGATGACGTCCTCTACCGCTATGCCAGCTTTCGGAACCTGGTGGACCCCATCACGCACGACCTCATCATCAGTTTGGCCCGATACGTGCATTGCCCCAAGCCAGTAGGTTACGTTGCCTCTTATGCTGGCAAAATTGCTGGGGGGGATTGGGGCGGGTTGGGCTCTTCTTTTTATTAAGGTGTTCGGTGATGGCAGACAGAACCCATCCAGTGCACCCAAGGAAAATGATAGGATCATAGCTCCAGAGCTGAAAGGGCCCTTGGAGGTCATCTTGACCAACCTCCTTCTCCTTTTACAGATGAATTAACTGAATCCCAGAGAGTTAAGTGACACGTAGGATCATAGCTTCCGAGCTGAAAGGGCCCTTATATGCTGACTCCTTCATTTTACAGATGAGGAAATTGAGGCTTGGAGCAGTAAAAGTGACTGGCTCAAGGTCACACAGGTAGTAAGCATCAGTAGTTGAATTTGAACCCAGCTCTTTTAGGTCTAAGCCAGCCTTTCTTCTCCCTCCTCACCCTGGGAGCCAAGGAAGTGGGGTACATTGACACAGAGAGGCCGAGCCAGGAAATATGACCCATTCCAGATGTCCTAAGGCTTAACACCTAGGGAAGAGAGCGGACGAGGTTTGTGGTGGGTTGTGGGTGTGGTGACATGGATGGAAGCCCTTATAGCTTAGGTTGGAAGCTAAATCCCAAAGCATTTACCAGCTTCTGGAAACAGCCTCTGACTCCTGTGAGGTTCTGAAGGTTGGAGGGTGTGAAAAAAAAGAGCCAGACAAAAACATCTGCCCTTTTCCCTTCTGGCTGCTGGAGACTAGACGGCACATGAGGGCCCTTCCAGCCCTGGAGCTGTGACAGTCACCGGCGGGGAGTCCTCCCAGCATGCTGGCTCCTGGGGAGGACGGAGGAAGCCATGGTAACTGCAGCTGCCCTGATAAAGCGGGCTTTGTTTCTCCAGCTCTGGGGAGATGCTGCCCTGGTGGGGTGGGGGTGGAGGGCGCCTGCTGGGCCCAGGCCTCAGGATCTCACTACTTAGGTCTTCCCAGCCCCTTCTCTGCTTTCCCCTTCCCTTCCAGAAGGAAATTGCCCACAGCCTCAGAAAGAAGCCCCTTTGACCTTGAGCAATGACTTAACCTCTCTGGGTCTCAGTTTCTTCCTCAGTAAAATGAGGGGGTTGGGGCAGATGGCTTCTGAGGCCTTTTTCAGCTCTAAGTCTTTGGTCCTATAAATTTGGACACGACTTCCTCTCTCTGGACCTGTGCCCTCCTTTGTGAATGAAGGGCTTGAAAATAAAGAAATATAAATGAATGAATAGATAAATAAATAGATAAATAGAAAGGAAGGAAAGAGAAAGAGAAAGAAAAGAAAAGAAAAGAAAAGAAAAGAAAAGAAAAGAAAAGAAA